CGTTTCGACTGATTGGTCTAAGTGGCCGAGAATCGGTGGTGACTGGAGCCGTCACTTTAGTTCGTCGAATGCCTTTTGTTGTTCTCCACACCAGTCGAAGTTCACGGCGTCTTTCGTAAGGCGCGTTAGCGGCGCAGAAAGCTTGTCGAAATCCTGAACGAATCGTCGGTAGTATGCGCAAAGTCCAAGGAATCTTCGGACGGCCTTCTTGTCGGTGGGCGGCGGAAAGGCCGCTAAGGCGCGAGTTTTCTCAGGGTCAGGACTTACACCTTCGTTGCTCACAACGTGGCCCAGGAACTTCAGTACGCCGTAGGCAAACGGGCACTTCGTTGGCTTGAGGGTGAGTCCTGCGGTCCTGATTGCCTCAAAGACGGCACGAAGGCGTCGCAAATGCTCGTCGAGTTGGCCGAGAATACCACGACGTCGACGAGGTAAACGAGACAGCTCTGCCACTTGAGGCCTGCCAGGACGGTGTCCATGACACGTTGCAACGTTGCCGGCGCAGTGCACAGTCCGAAGGGCATCACCTTGAACTCAAACAGTCCGCCGGGCGTGACGAAGGCAGTCTTTTCTCGGTCCCGTTCGTCGACTTCAATCTGCCAGTAGCCACTCTTAAGGTCCATCGACGAAAAGTATCGGGAGTGGCGCAACCGGTCCAGCGTGTCGTCGATGCGGGGGAGCGGATACACGTCTTTCTTGGTGACCGCGTTGAGCCGCCGATAGTCAACGCAGAATCGAAGCGTTCCGTCTTTCTTCTTTACAAGCACGACTGGAGAGGCCTACGGGCTGCTCGAAGGCTGAATGATGTCGTCGTTGAGCATCTCCTGTACGTGTTCATTAATGGCCTCTCGTTCCTTTGGCGAGACCCGGTACGGCGGCCGATGCACACGGAGCGCGTCCTCGTTGGTAATAATGCGGTGTTTCGCAACTGTTGTCTGGCGCACCCTCGACGTCTTCGCAAAGCAGTCGTCGAACTCGGCGAGGAGGTCTCCGAGCTGTCGTCGTTCCGTGGCGCTGAGCTTGGGGTTAACGTCGAGCTGTGGCGGCACTGTACTGGACGGCTTACATGGCAAGGGCTCGTCGGAGATCGCGGCGATTTCGGTGTCGGCCCGGAGTTCCTCGACGTGTCCTATAGTGGCACCTTTCGTGAGTGCTGCGCCTCCGGTAGAAAGTTCGTCACGAGGACCACACAACGTCCATCCTGCAGCAATGCTACGCCCCTTGCGACGCCTATTCCTCTTCCGAGATGCAGTTGGACGTTGCCTTCCAGAAGGACTTTGCCGCTGGCAACTGCGTCGGTAACGACGGGCACAAGAACACTCGACCGTGGCGGCAGGTTCACGTGGTCCGCAATGACTCGAACGGCGGCTGGCGAAGGTTTGGGTCCCTCCGGAGGTAGCACGGGCTTTCGCAGTGTCAACCTGTTTGCTCCAAGGTGGATCACCGCACCGTACTCACAGAGGAAGCCCATGCCAAGGATGACGTCTCTCGAACAGTCTTTGAGGACGTCGAATTTCACGGGGCAGGTCTCTCCGTGGATGTCCACGCGCGCAGTACACCTTCCCACTGGTGTGATGAGATGTCCGCCGGCGGTTCGTATTTTCGGGCCATCTCACGGCGTCATCACTTTCCGAAGGCGGCGAGAGAGCTTCCCACTTAAAACGGAATAGTCTGCTCCGGTGTCGACGAGTGCCTTCGCGTCGTGGCCGTCGATGGTAACGTCGAGGTTATTCGACACCGTCACAGAAGCGTCGTTCTGATGCGTCTTGTCGCTAGCGTGGGAGCCCTCCGACGTTGGTGGAGGATATTGGTGTCGTTCGTCCTCGGCGATACCACCTCCCGGTATTGCCGCACTTCGTTTCCCGGCAAGGGTCGCTTTGGGCGAACGTCCTGGGCTTGTTCTTGGCGTCGAAGGATTTGCGGCGTTGGATTGTCCCGTCGAGATGACGCCTGGTATTGGTGGGCAACCGGCGGCGGTCGGCGGGCTACGGAGGCGTAGGTCAGTGTCGGCTCCTCTTGTGCCACCACGGTGCGGGGAACCTTTGGGCGGAGTGTCCGGTGAATTTCTTCACGGACAGCCTCAGCGATGGAGAGGGATGCCGGAGCACTGGCCGCAGGTAGCAACTTTCGGAGCTCCTCCCGGACGACGTCGCGGATAACCTCACGGATGTCCCGGGTACGGGCGCCGATCTCGTCGTTAAGCAGCGTGGAGACAACGACGCCGGGATGTCGTTGGTAGTAGGAGGCGCGTGCTTGGAGGGCGCTCTCCACGTTCGTTGCCTCCATGACAAACGCATCGACGGTGGTTGGAGGGTTGCGGACGAGGCCCCCAAAGATGTCGTCCCTCACCCCGCGCATGAGGACACGCAGCTTCTTGTCGGCGGCTTGTGGGTCGGCGAGCGTGCTCAGAGGCAGGACGTCTTGAACGAAGCTGGTGACGGTTTCGTTGGGACCTTGCGTCCTCGTCCGAAGGAGATCTTATGCTCTCTCCCGTCGGTATAGGGTGGCGAACGTCCGCTGCGACTCGGCCACACAGATGTCTCACGACGTAAGCGAAGCCTCGTGATTCTCGAACCAATGCCTCGCAGTACCCTCCAGCGAAAAGTAGAGGTTCTGGAGGCGTTGCTCGGCGTTCCATCCGTTGTGGCGGGCCACGCGCTCATAGTGAAGGATCCAGTCCCCGACGTCTTCGTAGATTTCGCCATGGAAAGATGGCGGCGACCGGGGGGCGACAGGCAGGACAACGACGGGCGGAGCGATCATCGTCGCGGTCTTCTTTGAATTCTGCGGCAGGGGTCCAAGTTCAGGAGCTTGCCCTTGAAGACGGCGGCTGTCACGATGCTCTGAGTCTTCAACGGAAAGTCGTTGGGAAATGGGGCTTGCTGACCGAGTTCTTTGTAGGGGTACGCTGCATGGGTTTTGTACCCCGCACCTCCACCAGAAATGTCACGAATTAAGGCGGCGAGAATGCGAAAATTGAACTGAAAAATAAAGGATTAATGGGCGAACTTGTGCCAACAAAAGAAGTAACGAAAGAGCGTTGAGGGAGCAGAAAAGCAGGCGGCGACTTGGCGGAGAAACAGAAAGCGCGAGCGAGACTGGGACTGACTCGACAAGGTCGCGGGCAGCTGCTTATCTACCGTGCGTCACTATCTCGAAAGTTCGGCAAAGAAGTTTCGAGCGTCGCGCGCTCGGGGCGAGGATGAACTGGCACTTTCGAGAATAACAAAGCAGAGGGAAAGTTACGTTTGCTGCGAGAATGACCGGGAATCTTCTAGAAGATCGTGACCAAGCGTTGCCTTCTCGGCTCTGCGGGCGGCAATATGGCGTCCAGTGAATACTCCCTATAGTACACAGTGCCCACTGCCATAGCTCCTCTGTACCCACAAAGCCTGGCAGTTCGACACTGCGCCATAGGGAACCTGCAATGCTGTTTGGTTTGGCGACATCTAGCGACTGAAGCAAGAAATATTGGGTACCCCTGGGAGTGGCGGCTGCCTTGTTCAAACGTGAGCTTTTGCTCTGGTGGCGCCGCTTAGCCTAGTGTCGGAAGCAAGAAATACTGGGTATCCCAGAAAGCCGTGATCGCGTAACGTGCCAGCAGAGTGGAAGCTACGGCCCTGGCGGGCCAATCGGAACGTGACTGCGTATCACCGGAGCGCGCCTCAACTCCGAAGAAGTATCAGTCTTTTCGCTGCGTCATGTTCCAATATGTGTGCGTTGCGCTCGTATACGTCGCGCATTTTGAAGCCTTCGGCACGCAATGTGAGCGTTCACCCTTTGCCAAGCATCAGCGAGACAGGGTATAACCGTGCTCTCTCACCCTGCTGGCGCCGCCTGGCCGTTGCCGGCTGGCTATAGAGTGCTCGGTCGTAGATTTGGAGCACAAGGATCTGGTAGCACGGAGCATTTCTCCGGGAACCTGTACGTCGGTGCACACCTTTTGCATCGGCGAGCACTCGAAACATGGTTTTTCAATCCGAGGAGAAAAGACGCGGTAGCGCGAGGAACGCGGAGATCACTATGCGGACATTCCATTGTTCCGAAGAAGTGTGTTTTGGAGTCTCGCTGCAGTGAAGCGCCCGTCATGTGGCTCTCTTCCCATTCGTTGTCTGCCGCTCTACCATTTTAATTTCGGAAGCCGCCTCTCAGGACGATCTGCCAGGCTTCGTCAGTATGGAGGACGCTGTGCCAATACATGCACTCCGGAATAATAGAAATTAATACCCGATAACAAAATACCGTCGTAGCACCGTCAATGCCAAGAGCTCATGCCCGAAGATGCGCTTTCACGCGCTCCTGAACAGAAAAAAAAAGGTTTTAGAAAGAAAATGTTTTTATTTGTTAGTGTTTTTTTCATGTGCCCCACGACGCATGAATGCTACGACCGTTCGCCGTGTCTTGTCGCAGCTATCCCTGTAGCTGTACTGTGAATTAACACAGGACTACTCAATCGTTTTCTAGTGCGTCCTGGCTAAGCGTGATTTTAGTTTTCAAACAATGGATTATCACATGGAGCGCCATATAAGTCATTTCGAAATTGTCCGGCCGGGTTTCCTCAAAAAATACAAAAGCGATATTCGAACGAAGACAATAAAATATTCTGCCTGGAGCTCATCGACTTCGCCTGTTAATACATAAAAAAAAAAACACGTAAAATAAAACGCATTTCTTTTCCTACAGGTCTTTGAACCGGATTGGTTAATGGGTTTAATTTAAACTTTGGTTTCACGGTATACCTAGAGCCACGGTATTTTATGCGCGCCTCAAGCCAAAAAGGTTGATGCACGGAAAGGCACGTGTGTGAGAATAATATGTTTTCAAGCTTGAACAATGACTATTGTTCCCTAGCACCTGAGTGACAGGTTATTTTTCACTAACAAAATGAAAATGCGATCTTACATTAGAAACTTATATCAGCGATAGTTATAAAAACGTAACGCTCTCCTAAGACATACACCGTGCCTGTGGGTATATGGATGTGTAAACCTCCAGTGACAATGATCGCTCTGTTCTTGGGAATTCTGTTGTTATGTCACAGTCATGCTGCTTTATCTCAAAATTGCAGCGGAGATTATCCTGATGCCAACGAGGTAAGAAAATACCATTCATGTAACCCGTTTATACGGACGTGATGGATAAGGTGTTTTTTTAGTAGCTCAAGACCCCTACATGAAAATCTATATGTACACGTATGACGTTCGTGTTGTTAGGATGATGCTGTCTGCAGGAGCGAGGATACGATAGCACAATATGAGAGAACACACAAAGAAATTATGAAGGCCGGGCAATCAAGGGGGACCTGCCTCAAGATGGTTGTGCGCGTTACTGCACCGTCTCGTCTTACCTTTCCTGACAGTATGTTCAATTTGAAGGGGAACTCTCATCGTGTCACAGGTTGCCGCTAAATTAATACCAGCATTCTCTCACCAATGATGAGTTTTAACACCTAATGTCCATGGGCAAGATCTTATGCAAAAAATGTCACGCCCGAGTGTCACGAAAAATCGTTACGCACAGGTCGAGTAAACATAAGAGATGCAAAGCCCTCAGCAGGCAATACGTGACATTCCAAAAAAAAGTATCAGTCGTAATAAATCATACAAGCTCACGATCTAGGCAATTTAAAAATAAAAACACGATCAACCGAGCTGCTCAGTGGGAATCAAATTCTCGACCATCTGAAGCGCCGCCCAGAAGTTTTTGTTCGGAGCCACGAAATGTTCTCTTCTTTTTTTTTTTAATGGTGGGGAAGTAAATTACTGTAACTCAATTTTCTGGGCCTTCAGACGCAGGACGAAATAAACCACCTCGGATTTTTGTAGAACGATTAAAAACCTCGCATCCAGGGGTGGGCTTCAAAAATACTTGTGCATTCCTATGCATGTTAAACCGCTTGGTACATATTTCACACTTGAAGTACAAATATACGAAAATTCCCATGCAGTTACTTCACATCGATATCAGCATGGCGGACAGGCATTCACGAGTGTTTTTAATACGCTAAATAATCCTAGCAGCGTTAGCATGTGATTGGGAACATCGTCGTAAGAATCTACGCACACAATCGTACGGGGACAAATAAAAACATTATTTTTTTTTATTCTGTGCTAGAGAACGTCCCAATTAAAACATATCAACCCAACAAAACCTAAATAGGTGATCGCGTGGCTCGACCGGGCAGCGTAGGCGAGTTTAAATATGAGCACCGTTGAGACTAATCGCCCTGTCACCGTCTTCCCCAAATTATTTGGTTGAGGTCTTGCGGAGTACCCGCGTCGCTTAACAGAAGTTTATTGCACTCTGTAGCTTCGAAATTGACGACTGCCGGCTGCGATGAACTCTAATAGACAACCCTCCACGGGCTTTCCACCCGCTGCAGCCGGCCCTGCTCCCAGCAAGTCCGACATCCTAAGGTTTTTGCTGGACTCCTTGAAGATGACGTGGAAGATTGGGTGGACGTTTACAACAAATGGGATGATGAGGATATGCTCCGGAATGTCATATTTTCCCTTTCCAATGTGGCTCAAATATGGTTTATCAACCACCAAGATGAGATATTTACATGGTTACGTTCGAAAACTAAGCTAGCCAATACAAACGACACATTTAGGCAAAATAACAACCAAAACTAAAGTACAGTGTGTTGAATTTTCGCCAGCATTCTGATGACCGTTCTATACTATTAATATACCTGTCTCGGCGCAATATGAAATGACCCGTCGTCCAACTTTGTAAGTTGCCAAAAAAAAATGAAAGACGTGTACAACCCCGTGTAATGCCGAATTAGAGCGCCGCTCTTGAGGAGGAGGAGAGGAGTGTCCAGAAAGGAGGGTATGCCCCTCCTCTGTCTCTGTACCCTCCCCTCCTCCTACTCCTCTTCTTCTCCTCCCCCTGCGAACCTCCTCCCTCTCCCGCTCCTCATCCCATCTTTCTCCTCCCTCCTCCTTCCCCTCGTCCCCCCTCCCTGCCTGCCCCTCGGGACGTCACCGGCGACCCTCGTGACGTCATTCGTGAAGGCCTCCTGAAGTGAATGTCGTAACATTCATAAGTGAGCGTGACGTTACGCGTGATGTCACGTGTGATGTCAATATAGGAAACGTACCATGATAAAATTCACTGGACCCTCGTGACGTTACTTGGGACGTCACGGTGACGTCATTATGGGAAACGTCCCATAATGTAACGTGAGGTCACGAGTGAGACCCGCGCGTTGCATCATTCGACGTTAGCCATATTGTAACGTGCGGTTACGCCGACGGCGACGACGACGGCGACGCCGCTGAAGCCAAAAACGGGCGCCTAAGAGCTGCGCTCTAAAAAAAACCCAAGAACATAGGGCATAAAGTATGTGGGCTATGAAACATATCTCTGTATATTGGAACTTATGCCCGGTAGCTTTTATCGAGCACCCATTTTCTTGCTTCTCTCCGTTTTCAAAAATATCTGGCGTACGTTTTATAGTGCGGCTAGCGGCTCCCCGCCCTCCCAACACCAGACACAGATACACACACTCCCCGCCTCCCTCCCAGTCACAGGAGCACTTCCCAGAAAGACAAATGGCAGGCGTTTTAAGTCGAAAGACAGGTTACGGTTTGACAGTCTTGACACTTGCGCTACTCTAACTTGCGTACATACTGCTTTTGACTATAGCAAGCTACAGTTTAAGGAGGTAGTGACAAATGCCCCTCAACGGTAATCATATATCCCTCCGCCACCTCCACATCCAATAGCGTCCCATCGTTTCCATGACGTAGCGCCAACGCGCGAGGAGGGTCTTGCCTTTCTGTACATATTTGCTTTATTTTTCGACTTTGACTTAGCATTGTGGAAGCCACGAGAGGGAGATTAGAGTTTTCCCCCTCCAAATGGAAACATTACAACTTTCGGGGATTAGCTTCCCCCTCCGATGGATACAGAGGCTGCTTTCAGGGGCTCGGTTCCCCATCTAATGAATACAAAGGTCGCTTTCTTAAAAAGGGGGGGTTGAAGACACGTTGGCACCACTCTGTGGCCATTATCTATCCATTGAAGCGGAACAAGGAGCGTTTCCAGTGAACTCTTCTTTCGACTGCGGAGGGATTTGAAACGGGCGCATCACTCTTGTGGGAGGAGCTTCTCCTACCTTCTTGACATGTAACCGACTATAGAATAGATCGAAGGTAGTGCGAGTTTCATTTATTGCTCTAAATTAAATGTGCCCCCCCCCCCCCCCCCGACTCTTGGAAGTTTCGTGGTTTTCTTTGCGGCTCTTAGGCCGGATCAGCCTGACCACTCCTGTTTTATACTATAGGACCAGCACTTTCACACATGTGCATGAGCAGGGCAGGTACAACAACAAATCCTGTGACTAAGAAGAAGACAAAGTGAACATGTTACTGTTCACTTTGTCTTGCTTGAGGGTGGAGGGTTATTGTTCTATTCGACTAGGTGTTTTGGCTGTCTATCAAGAAGACTCCGAAATTAAAATGTGTAGCTGTGTTTAGAGACGGTGTTGGGCTCGTCCCCTTGGTCTGCATATGGGTTGGGCACATTGCTATTTCATATTTTGGGCGGCCATGAACGACAAATCACATACGCCTTACAAATCCTTAGCAACGCATTCACAACAAAATAACGCATTCATCATCAACGCGAACATAAGAGAATGTCCAACTGTCAACTAATTCAAAACACCGCGCGGCGCCTTTACGTAACAACGTGGGGGTGGCCGACAAGACGTAAGGGTTCCTCCGGATTTCGGTTACAGCAACCCTCACTGGTTGCTGGTTCTTGTGGACTCCAGATGGGTTAAGGTAGTCTGCTTGTCGGTCATAACTGCTGCGAAAAACGCAGAGAAACTACGATCAATTTTCGCAATTTTCGGACTACTGGGAGTCGTAGTTACGGAGTTTCCTTTGTCAGAGTGAAAGCGAACCCGTGCGGAGCTCAAGTTGGTCTGCTTTTTTTGCAGGGGATTTGATGGCGTCAGAACGACTCCGAGCTTCGATTGGTTCAGAATAAAGGATAGCGGGCGCACCTGAAGGCAGCTTGCTTAGAGGTCTACCCACTATTTCTCAATCAAAGGCAATCAGAGCTCAGAGTCTTTCTGACTTCACCTCCACTCCTGCAAAATACATCAGAAGCCGTAACAATCTTACCACCCTGCGCACAACGGGGTAACGTCTAGTTCAAGGTTTCAAGCCCGTCAGAATCGCACGCTCACAGGGCACATCCAACGGAGTAACGTCAAGTTAAAATTTTAAACACGGCTCAAGTGCGCGCTCGCCGGCAAAGCAAACACGCTCAACCGCTGTTTTTTTTCTTTGGGGGGGGGGGGGGGGGGGGGGGGGGGACTTACATGGGCATATGTTTTACGTTGTAGAGAAACGAGCGAAGGGTAGGAAAGGGGGGGGGGGGGGGTCTAGGTGATGGCTTAACGGCTGCAGTGTTTCACTCGTACACGGTCGCCGCCTTGGAGCTGATGCATGTTCTGGGAGATTTTCTCGCTTACGGCCCTATTGGTGTTCTTTTACGCGCCATTATTGTCACTGGTTGCTTACAGCCAATATATCGCTAGCCATCGCTTCGCCACCGCTATTTGTGCTAGTTCGCCCCCATTTTCCGTCGCCGTCAACGCCGCTCGGTTTACTGTCACGATCCGTCTTATCTCAAATATAGATCGCGAAAGGGCCACGGTTCTCTCGCGCTTGCGAAAGAGTGTGACGTTCAAATGAGCCAATCAGAGCACTGGATTTGCTCCATGGTTGTACTCCATGAGAAAGTTCCAATACGGACACACAGCCCAGACGCTTGATGACCCATGCCTGAGATTTGGCAGAACGTGTCGTTTCTCCGTTGGCACCAGACAGCGACATGCAGTTTTATACAGCACTACGGAGTGAAGGAAGTCAACAGGGGGCAAAGGCGTCGTAAACCGAAATTTCGGGTAGAGGCCCGCCAGAAGCCGCCTCGGCTGCTTTTCAAGCCGATTCAGCTTAGGGGGATATGGAATTTGGTGCCATCGCGTCGACATGAGCTCCTTTCGGTGACCCTGCGAGCGTAACCCATAATATGAGCTGCGCTGGATGAATTTCGATGATTGTTTCCTTCGCGCTATGGGTGTACTTCGCCACTGTTAAAGTAACTTTGTAAAGGCATAAATCAACATTAGGCTTATAATACCTACAGTTATATTGTTTTACTTTTATTACGCTGGTGTAAACTCCACCTTCTTTCCTGCGCTTGGCTTCGTGAGTTGCCAACGTATTTAACATAAAAGAGCTTCAACCGTTTTCTATAGGCAACCTGCAATGCTGTTTGGTTTGGCGCCATCTAGCGACTGAAACAAGAAATATTGGATACCCTGGGAGTGGCTGCTGCATTGTTCGAACGTGAGCGTTTACTATGGTGGCGCCGCTGAGCCTAGTGTCTGAAGCAAGAAATACTGGGTATCCCAGGAAGCCGTAATCGCGTAACGTGCCATTAGAGCGGGAAGCTAAGGCCCTGGCAGGCCAATCGGAACGTGACTCCCTATCACCGGAGCGCGCCTCAACTCCGGAGAAGTATCAGGCTTTTCGCTGCGTCATGCTCCAATATGTGTGCGTTGCGCATTTTGAAGCCGCCGGAACGCAATGTGGGGCTTATCATTTACCCCTTGCCAAGTTACAACGAGACAGGGTATAACCGTGCGCTCTCACCCTGCTGGCGCCGCCTGGCCGTTGCCGGTTGGCTATAGATACCGTAAAAAGGCCGATTTTGGCGTAGAACTGCGTGTTTCTTCGCACTTGAAAAGGTGTGCAAAGCTGCGAAGTCGATGCCACGGAAACGTGATTACAGAAGTGACGGTACGCACGTCAAAATGATTTTCAAGTTATATTGAACTCGGAAAAAAGTAAACAAAAGAACCCGAGAGCTCTCATGCGTGACGACGCTCCTCGCAGTGTGATACACCAATGACGCGGCAAACATGCCATCGTCTCCGCCACGGAGGCACCGTCGGCCCCTATCATCCGTATGTGCTTCTCCCAGAAAAAACTTCGTATGGGATTTTAAAATGGCCCAATAGCGCTCCCAGGTTTTTTTCGTCGACTTCCTTCGCACTAAATTTTGCGTATCCGACCCACACATGACGGCGCGGGGGGTTGCGTAATTGCTTCTACGGCACTGTGAGCCACAAGCAATCATTTCTCACCCAACCGCCATCGTCATACGGCTAGAGTCAGGGGACGTATCTCTAGCTGGGATAAACAATACATTTGAGACTAGTATACAAGGCACGAAATCACTTAAATCACACCGCTCTTATTAATTGTGCCACCCACATGTAGCTAAATAGAACTTTCGGCAGCATAGCACGCCTATGCACCGACCAATTTTTAATTATTTAAAATGAACGGTGATGCATTACTCTGCATCTTAACCGAAATATAAAGTGAATTTTTTTAAAAAGAACATATTTTGTAAGTGGCATGAATAGAAAACAAATGCTGCAGTACATCTTCTTTAGGTTTTCTTTTTGCTCCTTCATTTCTTATGCATAAAAGTGTTTTACCCTTCTGTCCTTTCAGGCGGTTACATTGAGGTGATTGAACATTATATTTAAATAACGAAATACATTTCCAGGTTATGAAGAAGCTACCTCAAACATTCATGCTTCATTCACTTGCGAATTATTCGAGTTTAATATGTGGTTACCAACATTTCTACAATGAGACCGAGGGAACTCAGACTTATAGAAAATATGACTTAATATTTAAGTACCCGAAACAAATGTGAGTAATAAATGTATTAATGCAATTTAAAAGAAAACTGTAGTGTGAGTGTATCACAAAATAATTGGAGTTTCAACGTGTTTACTTTGCAGATATAATCAGCCTCTCTATGTAAGAAATGTGACTGGGTACACAATTTTTATGGACACTGATCCAGGTGAGCTTTGGTTAATTCTTTAAAATCATAATTCGTCCGCTCGGAGGAACGGTGACATAACGAACAACGTCCGAAGTCCTTTGCGAAAAAAATGGATATTGGCTTATGAGTATTCTTCGTTCGGATTATTCACGGAGTCTGTAGGCAATTGCGTATTTTTTTATAGTTATGCCAACGCCAAATTAGGAAACACTCTTGATATTTTTAAACAATTTTCCAATTTGTAATTTAATTGCTTTATATTTAAGCAGAAGTAGCTTAAATATAAAGCAAATATAAAGATGATTGTGTCTCATTTTTTTCGTTGTACTTGACAAGCTAGTGATACGGTTTTCTTTAAACGTTGGGCTGATGTGCTTTAGGAGGAAGTGGGCGGTGTTAATATCGCGTATGTGATATGAATATATGCGAGTACACTTTGTGCCATCTTTCTCCTTACCTAACTGCAAATATGTGCCACCAATGGCATTTCAAGTCGGTATGCAGTCTAAGGTTCCGTAGTAACCTCGAAAGTATGAGTGTGCTTGAAGATAGGAATTAGCAGAGAGCCCACATGCTTCAAATCCTGCAGCACTCTGACTGCAGCAAAGTTATCACAGATTGTTTTCTACCCAATTTATTTGCAATAACCTTGTTTTTCTGAAGTACGCTAAATTGGTTGAGTTTTATCATGTGACAATATTTCATATACTTTTCGACAGAACCATGGACTCCGGCGGTATTCAGTCGCGAAATATTGTATTCGAACATGAAATCTTGCATGATAACACGAAACCCGAACCCAAGATTTCCTAAACGTTGGTACCAAAAACTACCTTGTGAACAAGTAGCGTCTATTGCCGGTTCAAATCATTTATATGAACTGAATGTATGGACTTTACTGTGTATTACATTAGGCAGCAGAATACTGTGCAAAACAATATTACCTGTGCTCAAGGTATTAAATGATTTTTAGAAATAGAACATTCCTTTTTAGTTCTATGATTTAGCAGTAATGTTAGCCACACTTAAGCAAAAGCATTTGGCTATGGAATAGCATACACCCCTAAAACCAGCAACGCAATCATCTCGCACTTACAAAGAAGCCTAGACGCGGTCCCAACTTTAATTCTGCTTGCGAAATCCTGTAACTTGACACGAGAATAAGTTTATTCTGGCATCCCTTACAGAAATGTCATATATGACCCAGATATATTTGATATAGGGCCGTATATGGGCATATAAGTAGACATATACGGTCATATATTGCCATACAAGGGCTGAAATCAGGGCAGATATGGTAAGGTGATACCATATATGACGACATATATTGCCAGATAAAGTCATATATGGTGCCAGTGGCTGCCATATATAACAGTATAGGATGCCTGATACTCCTGTATATGGCACTATATGGTGCCAGTCAACATGTAGATGCAGGTAGCACTCCGCGTCGGCCGGTATCGGGACTACGCCGGCCCGCCCATGGTAACAGGATGGCAGCGGCTGGCCATGGGCTCCGGGGAGCCACCGGCCGGCGTCGGGGTTTCGTCTTGCTCATTGGCCAGTCCAACTGTAGAAGTTACAGTGACTGGCCGGCGTCGGGTTTTTGCTGTCTTTGCTGGCTAGTCTTTCCTTGGAGGTTCCAGTAACTGGCCGGCATCGGTATTATGCTGTCTCTGATGGCCGGTATTTACGGAAATTCAGTAACTGGCCGGCACCGGTATTTTACTGTCTTTGATGGCCAGTATTTACATGGAAGTTCAGTAACTGGCCGGCATCGGTATTTTCCTGTCTTTGATGGGAAGTATTAACATGGAAGTTCAGTGACTGGCCGGCATTCGCGCTTTGCTGTTTGCAGGCTGGCGAGCCCCGGGAACGTCCGTTTACTGACCGGCATCGTTCTATTTTTTTTTTTTTGCCTTTTTGACTATGCAGACACGTCATTGAGATTCCGACGAACTGTGGCGATTCATATGTAGCGAGTGGAAATGTTTGCGTTGATCAATCCTTCGTAAATGACTGCCGACGCTGGCGTATTTGATCCCACCATGGCAAGGCTGACGTGTTTTATTGCGAAAACGCGAAAAAAAAAAACAATTCCGTGAGGAAAATTTGCAGTCCAGGATTTGAGAATCTGACCCCCTATGCCACGAAAATGAACTTTTACAACGCCGAACGACACTTTTTTCAGGAAGTTAGTTTAAATAGATGTACTATACTTAAGGTCTGGCGTTATACGCATCTGTTTGGTTCTGATAAAAAAATAAAAACGGTATAGCGGAGCCTCGAATGAAAAAAGAAAAAAGACGTGGCATGATTGAGCACGCGCTTTGAGCTACAAAACAATAATAAACATTACTTTCCAGGAACTAGGAAAGTAAGATATGTGTTTATTGCTTATGACGCTACGAGAGGTACATAAATCTCCTGAGAGATCATTTTAATGGTGATTTTAATCTAGTGTGAAAATATGCTATTTCAGGCAGGAATTGACTGTTTTATGTGGTAGTTACCATATAAAACGATCATCTAAGAGAAATATTTTAAATGTTCACATAGGCCAAACGGTATCTGTCTGTTTAATAGCTTATGGTATACGACATACCGTACCAAAGGAACGCGAATATAAAAACTTTTTTCTTTACTCAAAAAAGCGAGAAACACCAATGCGTTCTGGATGTACACACTGCTGGGTTTGTGAATGTGACCCCTTGACACTACGAAAAATAAATGTCACAATGTCGAACGATAGCATTTCTGAAAGCTAGTTTGATTATCCGCGCTGTAGTTGAATCTCAGGAATAAAAAAGTGTTTAGGCCTAACAATAAGTAAAACTGCGGAGCGCAACCTGTATAAGTAAGACCTGGCGGCACGCGGGGAATAGCGCTGATCTACGAGAACAAAATTAAATACTACTTTCCGGAAGTCAGAAAATTAAGAGACGTGCTTATGAGCTATGAGCTCAACTAAATTACTGCCTTAAAATGGCGGTATTTTTGTTTCAATAGTGGGTGAATATGGACCGCTTTCATGACAAACTTTGGCCTCATCACTGTGGCAGTTTTATCACTTACATTTTCCCATTTTTCTCTAAATGTACCCATTATTATTAATTGTATTTCTTCGTTGAAATGACTTGCGAGGTTTGCCTACTACACTGACCCACCTATTAGCACGGAGGGAGCGAATCATCCCGGCAAAACAAGAGGGACAGGGTTTCTGAATTGCATCAATGCAAATGTGGGCTCGCACTTTTTATTTTCACCTTCTGCGTGATTGTTACCCCGAAGAACGTTCCCGACGGCAGCATACACATAGAAAATATATAAAATATAAAAAACTAATACACAAAGGTGAGAAAATTTTTAAAAAATAAAAACAAATTTAAAATGGTGAGAGAAAAATATTTAAGATAATAAAAAGTAATACAAAAAGATGAGAAAAAAATATTTAAAATAAAAACTAATACAAAGAGGTGAGAAAAAAATATTTAAAATAATACAAAATAATATAAAATAATGCGAAATAAAACAAAACAAAATACAAAAAGGTGAGAAAAAATATTAAAAATAATAAGAACGAATACGAAAAGCTGAGAAAAAACATTTAAAATTAAGAAACAGTGTAAAAAAGCAAGTACCGCTTACCGCGACTCGAACGAACGGCCACAAGCTCAGAAAACCAGAGCGTCAACGCACTACGCTACCGCCGCCCGGATGACCTCCGCTCCCTTTCTAGAAGGTTGCATGTCTGCTGAATTTGCTTTTCATAATTGCAGGCTTAGTTTCGTATTTAATAATTTGCAACATGTTCAGGACTTATTCATGATATTGTCGCAAAATTGACATGCGAAATAATTTATTATTGCTGTGTCTTTTATGAGTTTTATAATGCAGTTTGCTGAACGTTTTATTTCAAACGTGTTGAAGATACGAATGCAACGTCATCGAAGCAACGGCCTCTCTTTCGCACGTTTTGCCGGCCGTGTGCGTTTGAATACCTGTGATCACGGCCGGCTAACGGTCCAATTACCCGATGAGTGGTGATGCGTGGAGTTTGCCTTAGTTTCAAATGTGTCCGACAAAGACGGAAGCGACTTTGGGACGTGGAACTACGTCAAATCTGCTCAACAGCCAAGATCATGGCACGGGATCGAAGTAAGTTTGTGTTTTGTTCGTTTGGGCTAGATTATTTCCTGCGTTCAAAAGGCTTGTTATTGTCTGTAGATCGCTCGCTTTTACCAGTATTACTAATTATGCGCGAATGGTGTTATGCGAGGCTATTTTTCTTTTTTCCTCGATGCAGAGGCTGTCTACTCGCTTAAGGTCGATCAGTTGCGGCGGAACTCTTTGGGAGACGGATTGGGGGTGGGGGGGGGGGGGGGGAACTCTTTGGGAGACGGATTGGGGGGGGGGGGGGGGTTGGGCAAAGGCGGAAGAGGAGGGGGGGGGGGTGATTTCCTCCCTCCGCGTATTGTTTACAGGTAAGCTAGAATGTCTGGAAGAGCGCGGTGCCCCTCCATCGCCGATGCCACTCTCCGTACTTGCCTGCTGAGAGCTGGACCCGACAAAAACAGCGATTGATTGATCGAGCAAGTCCGTAGCTTTCGCCACCCCAGTCGTCTGCAGACGCCTTCATTTTCGCAGTTCGTACCCAGAAAAAAATTGCCAAAAATTGGTGCCGCGATGAATTCACTCCGTGGTGATTAATGCACAGCATACCACTTCCGATCGCAAGAATTTGTGCCCGCGAAATAATTTTTGACGCTGGCATTTATTCCTCGCGAAATGTCGAGCTCTAAAGATCATTTGCTGTACACGTGTTTCATATGATCCAACGTACGTGTAACGAATTTGACACCTCGAGAAACACTCAGGCTGCTTTATATGGTGAAGCATCTATTCTCTTCCTACTGTTTTTTTTTTTTAGGCTTTGAAGTATTAATTACAAGCTTCTAGGGAAATGTACATGCATGTCCTCAATTAAGGTAGTGTCTCACCAGTTTTTGGTATCTATATTAGTCGAATACACAAAAGTTATACGTTCAGCGCGTGTGCTTGTCTTTCTGAGTATCTGGTGTGTGATTGTTTCCCTGCACTGTCTCCGTAGAATATGCAAAAATGAATAATGACATTGGCATATTTGTCGTGCCAAAGCCTGTCACAATTTTTTCGAACTCTGATCTCCAGGAGATCACAATACCATTGTTTCTGTTGTAGTGGCACGGCAGAGTCTATACTTGTTTTGCTCCAGTCTTTGTAAGGGGGATGCTGTAATTC